TGAGATCTCCTGACTACTTTTATCCGGATCCTCTTTTTATTCTTTTTTACTATTTCCCTGACCTGCTCCCTTCTTTAAAGTTTAAAATTTTTTTTTTGCATTTTATTGAAATGTAGTTGATTAACAGTGTTAGTTTCAGGTGTACAGCAAAGTGATTCAGTTACACATATACAAATATATATATTTTATTTTCAGATTCTTTTCCATTTTATGTTATTAGAAGAAACTGAATATGGTTCCCTGTGCTATACAGTAGGTTCTTGCTGTTTATCTATTTTATACTTAGTAATGTGTCTGTTAATCCCCAGTCCCTAATTTATCCCTCCCCACATTTTCCCCTTTGGTAACCATAGTTTGTTTTCTATGTCTGTGAAGTCTGTTTTTGGTTTGTAAATAGAATTTGGGTTTTTTTGTTTGTTTTTTTTTAGTTTCCACATATAAGTGATATCATGTAATACTTGTCTTTCTCTGTCTGACTTACTTTAATTACGGACCTACTCCCTTTGGATTCTGCTCCTGGCAGTTCCTCCTAGTTGGGACTAGTCCTAGATGTGAGCCTGAGCCCGTCAGCTCTGATTTCTTCTCAGGCCCAGGCTCTACTGGCCCTTCCAGGCTCCGCCCCTTGTCCCCACCGCTGTGGGAGTGAACAGACCCCTCCCCGTGTCTGCTGCCCTTCTCCCGTGGGCCTGCTGGATTTCCCTGTGACTCATTTGAGGTTCTTCCATCTGTCACATGCTCTGTTGCTATGACGTGCAGGTTCTTGTAGGTGTGTCTCCACTCAGTCAGGTTTTAGGGTTTGTGGGGTCTGTGTCAACTAGTTTGTCGTAGTAATTGCCCCTGGGTTTTCAGTTTTGCAATCTGAGCTGCTCTGTGTATCTTTATGAAGGATTAGGAGAAATTAAACCATCAAGATTTCTGCCTTTCCAGAATCCCCATGAATATTTTTATAGCGTTTATTGTTCACCTGTAAGAATTTTTCTGAGTTTATTGAGGGGAGAAATTATAGGTTCTTAGGGCAAATATTTGATATTACAATGATAACTGTAAATTGTTTTCTGAAGTTGTTATATCAATTTCTGCTGTCATTGTCGGAATAAAAAGTCCCCATTAACCCACATGCTTGCCAACACTTGGCACTGTCAGACTTCTGAACTTTCCACATCTGCTGGAGGGAAATGGTTTGCTCTTTGTCATCTTCATTTCCATTTTCCTGAATCCTAATGCGGTCAGACATGTTTCCGTATGTTTATTTCTCCCTATTTATCCTTTTGTGTGAATTGTCTGTTCATGTCTTTTGTCCAGTTTTCTTTTGTGTTGCCATTTTCAAAAGTTGATTTTAGTTCTTACAAAATGTATTTTCTGTTTTTATCTCACATTATTTATGCTGCCTTTTGATAAACCAGAGTTCTTGGTATTTTTATTTGGGTAAAATCCATATAACATAAAATTTACCATTTTAACATGTACAGTTTAAAATTTGCCTCTCCATTTTTTTTTTCTGGAACTCTAGTTTTTTGTGTATTAGATTTTTAATTTTAGACTTTTCAATTTTAAACTTTCTTTTAACCTCTCTTTTATATTTTTAAATCCATTTGTCTCTTTTTTGCCATCTGGGTAATTTCTTCAGCTCCATTTTAGAATTTATTGATTTTCTATCGTATTAGGTTTGTTTCCAATACTTTGTCATTTCTGAAGGTTCTGTTTTTCATCATGCCTGGCCCTTTCATAGTGTCGCATTGCTTACTTATTTTCATGACTCTACTTTTTAATTCTTTAGATAATTAGTATTTCATTATTCTATCTTGATAATTCTATTCCTTGGAGTTGTGTTTCTGCTGATTCTTACCTGTGGTTTGTTGATCTTAGATATTGAGTTCTTATTTGGTTGATATGAACTGAAGTTGCTTTTCTCCAGTAACAATTTAAATTTGCTTCTGCCAGCAGCCAAGGAGAGCATTGTTTAGTTTATTTATTTGTGTGTGCATGTGTGTTCCCATTTATTTTCTGCCCTGGTGATATCTCTTACCTCCTGAGAGTTCAGCAGTGCATTAAAAAGTATGTTTTTTTGTCCAGGAACTAGTTTCTTTATAGCAGGAAGACTCTTCAGGAAGTTAAAACTCTAATGAATTCTCTGGTTGGGGAAAAGTTTGAACTGTTAGGTAAAATTAGATTTACCAAAGTAGGTTCTGCATATGATGGAAATTATAGAAATAAGTTGGGTTTCTGATCCAATAAATGAAATCAACACTTAGTAAACAAGGGGTTGATTATTCACTTTATGGGAGGATTGGCAGGGGAAGCTTTTTGGTTGCTAAGTGCATCAAAAGTTCCATTTGTGACTGTTCATTTCAGAACAGAGAAAACAAAAATGAAGCCAAAGCATTTTGAGTAACTATTGGAGATCAAACTGAACTAAGATAAACTATCTGGAATTATTACTGAAATTGGTAGGGGAAAACAGAATTTAACTGCACTTCCCAGGAAACAATTATTCTGTTTCACTGGAGACCAAAAAAAAATGTTATAAACAAATTGTTTTGTTTTAGGTTACCTCTACCATGTTTCTTGAGCCAGCTCCCCTTTCACTTTCTCCAACAATTATTTTGAACTTTCTCCTTCTTCAACCCTCAGGGCCAAAGCTTCCTCCTTCCCTGTCACTCTCAGCAGCTGTCACAGACAGCTTCCATACCATACATCACAGAGCTAGAGCCTCCCCTCGTTGGCACCTATCCTTTCCTCCTAATTTTTCTTCCTCCTCACTTTAAAAGACAAGGTGCCCCTCCTTCTTGGTGCTGTGGGTCGCCTCTCTTCTCATAACCTTCTAGGATGTTGATATCTCTTTTTCATCTTCAACCACTCCTGTTTCTCTTGTTCTTTTCCAGAAACATTTAAAACATGTTCAGGTCAGAACCATGGGAGAAAAATAACCAACTCTCCTTCACCCACCCTGCTCCCTGCATCTTTCCAGTTACCACTCCTCTCTCCCCCGACTTCACAGTCAAATCTCAAAAGAGTGCCCAGAACTAGGCTTCATTTCCTTACTTCTCACTTATTCCCAATGTTGGTGTTATCCCTGACATGCCGTTGAAATTCTCACCCTAAAGTTTCCATATTTCTAAGTCTAGTGGATAGTTACTGGTCTTCACCCTACTTGAACACTCCATGGCATTCAACACTGTTTCAAAGCCTCAGGTGAGCACACCTGCACTCTCTTATACTTCTTCAGCCCTTATTTTAAAATGTCGTTATAAAGAGGGTCAACAGTGTTTAGTTGAGTATCATTGTGTTTATCTTAAAACCAACTGATTTATTATAAGATCATTACTTACTATAATTACTATTCATTGTTAGTATTATATACACGTTAGTGTAATTACTTTAGATTTTTTCTACTTTATATTTCATTTAAGATCTTACATTGATTTTTAAAAACTACTTACATAGGTAGGTTATATTATTTCTGAATTTCATCTTAGGTTAGTGAAAAGGGATTTTCAACGTATTTGTTAGAAAAAGTTGGTGCTAGTCTGATGGGATTGAGAATTTCTGCTCCAGTGGTGCCAACCTTCTCTTTCTAAAGAGATCAGGGCAGAGACCCAGCGCAAGCGAGCTTCTGCACTTCCAAGGTTCCCTTCATTACTTTTGGAAAAGAGTCACCTTGTCAAATAGCTGAATGCTCATTATTCTCTTAAACTAATATGAGTTGTTTTGGTTGCTCCTTGGTTCTTATAAACTACCTAAATAATGAATAATTTTCATTTAAAATTTTTTTAAAAAAATTTTTTTGGGAGAGGTACTTCAGTTTATCTGTCTATCTATCTGTCTGTCTGTCTGTCTATCTAATGGAGGTACTGGGGACTGAACCCAAGACCTTGTGTATGCTAAGCATTCCTCTACTACTAAGCTATACCGTCACCCACTCTTTTCATCTATTTTATTGCTTCTTTTTAATCTTAATTCTCCCAGCATTATGCGTGGAAGGACAAAGAGTAGAAAAACAAACCTCCAAGCACAAGACTTTTTTTTTTCTTGTTGAAAATTATGTGCAGTGAATTTGTTCCCCAGCTATGTTTCTCACTTTGGAAAACTCTTTTCATGTGCTCAAAATGGCAAGGCCATCTTTTGGTTATTGTTCCCAAGAAATGGGTTTTTAGCCACTAGACTGCTTTCTGCACATGATTTTTTAATTTCCCAGTACAGTTAGACAGTTCTGGTTGCTTCAGTAGAAAAGCTGGACTGCATGGCAGGTGGGTGTCCTGTTTTCTGGATGGACCCAGGGCTGCCATGGGGGTCCACCCGGGGGCATCTTACACAGAGCACACAGAATGCAAGGCTGTGGCTCTGGTGCAGTGTTTTTGCCCTCTGCCTTTAAGAGAACAGGGGTTGCAGCCACTGCAGCAGTGTACAGAGGCATATCTCGTCAGGGCAGCCAGGGGACCAGAGTCCGGAGGAAGCTTAAGGGGCAGAGATGCACTGGTTTGTGGGCCGTAGACTGTCTAGCAGAGCCGGGACAAAGGAAGCCATCGAAGCCCTTGTTACTCAGTGTCTGAGGATCAACCCTGTGAGTCACCTGGGAACTTACTAAAAGCACAGTCTCCAGCCGCATCCCAGACCGCTGAATCCAAACCTGTGTTTGAACAAGATCCGTATGCACCTTGTAGTTTGAGAAGCGCTGCTGCTCGGACCCACATTCCGGTTGCAGCCTTCAGACCACGGTGCAGACACTGCTCCCTCCAGGAAGCCTTCCCTCCCGCCACTGGCTTTGGGTCCTCCTTTCCCATACCCTTGCCCTTTGTCACCCGGACCTCGTCCATGTCCGTACTGGCCTGTCGCTGCGGATCTGTAGGTCCCTTCCTCAGGTGAGCCCCAGCCGAGATCGTCCTGCGCTCGCCTTGCACGTGGCCCGACTCAGAGCAGACTCCAGTCGGAAGGCTGCCCGGGCCAGCGATCGTGTGAACGAATGCGCAGGCGATCAATGTGACAGAACTAAAAGCCTGAAATTCGCGGAAGGTTATCTGTTTATTTTCGTTGCTGCTTAGTCAAGCTCTACAAGGTAAAAACAAAATGCACAGACTGTTTTAATGGCATAGATTTTAAACATTCAACCTCCGTCCACGGCATTTAGGGTTTCCAGAGCACTTTGGTTGAGGCACTTTTGTACCCAGAGGCACATGGGATTCCCCAGGCTGTAAGGGAGTGACTTGCTCTCATGGGGGTGCTGTTGCCGGCTGCCGGATGAGGTAGGGAAAAGCAGCTGCAGACACCAGGTCAAGGCCAAACACATAGCCCTCCCTGCCTTTCAGGAGCTGATGGTCCAGTCAGTGGCTGGCTAAGTCCTCTGCTGGTACCTGTTCCCTCCTGAGGGGCACCTGCAGCAGGAGGTGGGTGGAGAAGGGGAGGGAGCACACTGGACTTTGCTCGGGGTCAGCATCTTTGGCATAAAGGAGCTTCCTGGGCCTGGGGAGGGCCAGAGAAGAAAGGCAGCTGGTACCGACCCGGGTTGACGATCCTTGGTGGGTCCCCGCTGCCCACGTTCTCCGTGCTTCCTATCAGCAGGGAATGGATGGGCCCTCGTTTTGTCAAGCAAATGCTGCCATCTCTCTTGATGCTGCCTCCTCTCCAGCGAGCCTCTCTGGGGGCCACGGCTGCTGCTCCACCAGGGCCCACCTGGGAGAGAAGCTCCTGCCACTCAGTCTTGGAGCCGCAGATGGAAAACATCTGCAGGAAGCCGGCAGCCTTGCCTGTAATGCCTTCCCTACATCCATCTCGGGCCTAATGAGATGTGCTTACTCTTGGCTTTTTTTTTTTTTTCCTTTTTGCTAAAGGACCCTAATGCGCTCCTCAGACATGAGCTCATGCAGCCTCCGTGGGGAGGCAGGGGCAGCCTCTTCCGCAGCACTACTGGCTCAGCTTTTGCTGGCTGACTCTTTATTCCACCCTAAGATGCCCTCTGGCCCAGGCAACCTAAGAATATAAGCGTGACCAACACTGCCCCTCGGGGTGCGTCTCACTGATGTCTTCTGTCAAGATCGCACCCCGCTATGTGTTCAAACACATCATCCTGGTTCTGCCAGGGGTTTAGAGGCTCAGCTAAGAATCGCCGTCTCTCCACAGGGGAAATAAAAACAGTTTCAGTATGAATCAGTGAGAGGTGGCCTGTGATTCAAGGACACAAGTCCTGTGGCCTCTTGGTCCTTTGGAGCAGCAGTGTTTCCAGTTGCCAGCTTTGGTGGAAAAGACCCTCCCAGCTATTCTGAAACAACGATTCATTAGTAGGAACTTGGAGCCAGTGTGATTTTCAGGGTGCTCAGAAGGCAGGTTCTCTGCCTGGTGGCAGCAGAAGACATCAAAAGAGGTCCCTAGTGTCCTCCTACAGGACCAGTACCATGAAGATAATCGGTCCCCCAGCCCCCCGGGCAGGTCCCGAGAGAGACGGGCTGTCATGCTGAGGGCTCTCTGCCTTGCTTTCCCCTCCCCCTTGAACCGACTTTTAAAGGGTCTGCTCCCGGCCTTCCTGGGAGATATTCAAACTAATGATTTAAAAGGTGAGAAGGCACAGTGGTTTAAAGAACGGTCATCACCAACTTAAAGTAGGGGAAGAAATTACACTTGTTCTCAAGACAGGGTTCATTAGTGGCTTCGGCAAGGAGGTGACTTCACACTCCCACAGGACGATCAATTCGCAGCTGCCATGGTGACTTCTTTCAGGAAAAAAAATCTCCCCAGCACAGGGAGGATTAGTGGGAGCAGCCTCAGCTCCAACCCCTCCCCTGGCAAAGGGTGGACCTTCATGGGGCTCTCCGGGCACAGACACAGGCTCACCCCCACTGCCCCCAATCCCTGCCGGCCTCCGGCTACAGCCCCTGCTCACTGGGGACTGTGCCTCTGGGCACTGGGCTCCGGGCAGAGCACCTGCCTGCCCTGTCACCTCAGAGCCCCAGCTCTGCAAAAGCCTTGGGAAAGCAGCAAAAAGGGGGTGGAGGCGGGGGCACAAATGGATCAAATCCACCAATGTACAAGCCTCTCGCTGCCTTTTCTGTGCAAACAAGCCTGTGCATCTCTGCCAAGGTCACAACAGTGGGAGCTGCCGTTCTCCTAACATCTGGCACTTGCCTTTCAATCTACAAGTTGAAGTCTCAGGGACTCAACTGTTTAGCTAAGGAAGTATAATTGCAAATCCTGTTATATATATGAAATCGATATGGACATGTACATCACACACACGAGTGCCTCATTCTAAAGATTACCGCATACGTCCCAGGAAGTCAGACCTGAAACCACCAATCGGTGTGTAATCCCGCTGTCCTGCGTGATCACGATGAGGTGTCCTGACAGGCTCCAGGCACCCTCCTGCCTCTGTCTGGTTTCCGGAGCTGGGTGCAGGCACCTCACACGTGGCTCGTCTTCTGGGCCAGGGCGTGGTCCACGGGCCGCGTGAAATTGATGGCGCCATCCTTCTCCCAGCCCCTCCGGATCTTGGTGAGTCTGCGGCTGAAGCAGGGCAGGAGGAACAGGCCTTTGGCCAGGATGACGACACAGGGCACCAGCAGCGTGAGCGTGAAGGTGGGGGGCAGGTAGAACTTGTAGCGGCTCTCCTCGAAGGCGCGGGTCCAGCCGTAAGTGAGCGTGTGCAGGGTGCTTAGCACCAGGCCCACAAAGCCCAGAGTGGACTGTGGGGGAAAAAGAAAGCTGGAATGAGGCCAAGGCGAGGACAGACACAGTGACCCCACCAATAGCTTGTGGGCTTGCCTGGCGGAGGGGCCGGAAGGAGGGCGGCTTTAGTAGGGCCCCCGGTTCAAATCCCAGCCCTGTCACGTGTTCTCCGCATGATCTTATTACTACTTAAATTCTCTGAGCCTCAGTCTCTCGAACGGAAAATCAGGAATAATGTTCATACTCTGAAGTGTCGAAGGATTGATTGGTTCATGAGGATTTGATAAAATAACAATGCTTTTCCCCCAAACTATTATTCATGCCTCTGGTGGCTGCCAGAGGACTTAAGATTGAATTAAATTGCAAGACGTTTAAAAACAAGTTCCTAGTTTTGTGCATATTTTAATGTATATTAGAGTAATAAATGTCTGCTAACATAGCAAAATAATAACTTCACAGATAATGTTTGGTCTAAGATAAGGCCAGATAAAAAGTGAATGGAAGTTAAGTTGATTTAAAGATAAACACAAAGGGAAATTGACCAAGATAGCGGAGTAGAAAGACCCTGAGTTCACCTCTTGTGAGCACAGCAAAATCACAACTATTTGCAGAATTACCATTGATATACATATATATACACACATATACATACATACACATACATACATATGCATATATACATATATATATATATGAAAGATTAGAACTTACCAGAAAAGTTCTTCCATAACTAAAGACATACAGACGGAACCACAACAACACAGGTAGGTGAGGTAGGCTTGCAATGTAATCAATCCTGTACCCCTGGGTGGGCGACCCACAACCTGGAGAATAATTATACTGCAGAGGTTCTCCCACAACAGTGGGTTCTGAGACTGACAGCAGGCTCCCCGACCTGGGTTCCTGCACTGGGAAGATGAGCTCCCAGACCACTTAGCTTTGAAGGCCAGCAGGGTTTAATTTTGGGAGTCTCATCGGACTGGGGGAAATAGAAACTTCTCTTTAAAGGGCACACACAAACTCTCACGTGCTCTGGACCCAGGGAAAAAGCAGTAATTTGATAGCAGCCTGGGCTGGAACTACCTGCTGGTCTTAGCGAGTCTCCAGGAGAAGGGGCGGGGGTGGGCAGTGCGGCTCACCCTGGGCACAGACACTGGGGGCAGCCACGCTTGTGAGTTTCGTCTACCACGTGGACACCAGTACAGGCAGGTGCCACTGTGGGATCCTCCCTCTGGCTCATTAGAACCACAACCTAGACCCATCCAAGAGCCTGTAGGTGCCCGTGCTGAGACACCTCAGGCCATGTAACTAACTGGGCTGGGACACAGACCTACCCATTAACAGATGGGCTGGATAAAGACTTCCTGAGCCCGCAGTGGCCTCTAAATAATGCCTCTAGACATGGCCCCGCCCATCAGAGGGCCAGGACCCAGCTCCACCCACCAGTGGGTGGGCATGGGCGCTGCCTTCCAGGAAGCCTGCTGTAACCTCTGGATCAGCCTTACCCACCAGGGGGCAGACACCAGATGCGAGAAAATTATGATCCCACAGAAGGTCAGATCCTACCGTGGGACCAGCGGGGCCCTGACTGGCCCACTAGCAGGCCAACACACGCTTTGGGACCCCTCAGACCCCGTACACAATTGTGTCAGGAACCGTTTTTCATCCCTACCCTGCCAAGTGATCTGACACCAGCTCTGGGAATCCCAGGCCCTGCGGCCAGATTCCAGGACCCGGCTCTGCTGGCTAGTATCTAGCAGTAGCCTCAGACTTAGCTTCACCCACCAGTGGGTGGGCAATAGCCGTGGAGTCTTCTGGACCCTGACCCCACACATTAGTGAGCCAGCACTAGCCCTGGGGCCCCCTGGGGTTCTGCAGTCAACCACCTCTTGACCACGCCCCGCCAACCAGCAGCTGGTAGCCTCTGCACAAGGCAAGGCCTGGCAACTAACCAGACTAGGGGCCAACACATCCAAGCCTACCAGACTGCCCACGTAGTCATACTGCGACAACAAAGGGACCACACAACTGTCACAAGAGGATCCCCTAGAGCATATAGCTTACTTGACAAGAGGGGAGTCTGCTCCTGGGACCGAGAGGATGTCTCCTACAGAAGGCCACTTCTCCAAGGCCAGGAAATGTAACTAAGCTACAGATATATCAAAATACAAACAGCAACATAGACAACATGAGGGCAACTTGTTCCAGATGAAGGAACAAGATAAAACCCCAGAAGAACTAAGTGAAGTAGAGATATGCAATCTACCTGAGAAAGAATTCAGGGTCATGATTGTAAAAGATGATCAAAGAACTCAGGAGAAGAATGGATGCACAGAGCAAGAAGCTATAAGTTTTTTTTTCTCTCTGTTTTGTGATGGGGAGGTTATTAGACTTATTTATTTATTTTATATTTGGAGGAGGTACTGGGGATTGAACCCAAGACCTCGTGCATGCTAAGCATGCATTCTACCACTCGAGCTATATCCTCCCTACCCTTCACTCAGATTTAATGGAGAGATCAAAAGCTTTACAGACAAGGAAGAGCTAAGAGTTCAGCACCACAAAACCAGCTTTACAACAAAATTTAAAGGAACTCCTCTAGGTGAAAAAGAAAAAAAATTACTAAATGAAAAAACACATCAGTAAAGGCAAACATACAATAAAGTTAGGAAATCATCCAGGCATAAAACTAGTAGGATGGTTAAAAGACAAAAGTGGTAAAATCATCTATATCCACAATAAGCTGACAAGGGATATAAAAAACAATTAGATATAAACTATGGTATCAAAAACAATCATCACGAGGGAAGGAGAGTACAAATGCAGGGTTTTAAAAATGCACTGAAATTAGAAGATCAACAACTTAAAACAATCATGTATATGCCCAAGGCAATCTACAGATTCAGTGCAATCCCTACCAAAATCCCAACGGCATTTTTCACAGAACTAGAACAAATAATTTTAAAATATGTATGGAAACACAGAATACCCTGAATAGCCAAAACAATCTTGAGAAAGAAGAACAGAGCTGGAGGAATCATGCTTCCTGGCCTTAGACAATACTACAAAGCTACAATAATCAAAACAGTACATTACTAGCATAAAAACAGACAAATTGATCAATGGAACAGAATAGAGAGCCCAGAAATAAACCCACTCACTTATGGTCAATTAATCTACGACAAAGGAGGCAAGAATATACAATGGAGAAAAGACAGTCTCTTCAGTAAGTGATCCTGGGAGAATTGGACAGCTCCCTGTAAAAGACTGAAATTAGAACATTCTCTAACACCATATACAAAAATAAACTCAAAATGGATTAAAGACTTAAATGTTAAGACCAGAAACCATAAAACTCCTAGATAAAACCTTAGGCAGAACACTCTTTGACATCAGATGTAGCAATATATTTTTGGATCTGTCTCCTAAAGCAAAAGCAATAAAAGCAAAAATAAACAAGTGGGACCAAATTAAATTTGAGAGCTTTCACACAGCAAAGGAAACCACTGACAAAATGAAAAGACAATCTATGGCATGGGGGAAAATTATTCCCAAATGATATGACCAATGTGGGATTAATATCCAAAATATATAAGCAGCTCATACAACTCAACATCAAAGAAAAACCCACTTAAAAAGGGGGCAGACCTGAATAGACATTTTTTTCCAAAGAGGACATGCAGATGGCCAAAAAAGCACATGAAAAGATGCTCAACATCGCTAATCAACAGGGAAATGCAAATCAAAACCACAAAGAAATCTCACCTTATACCTGTCAGAATGGCTATCATCAAAACGAACAGAAATAACAAATCTTGGTAATGATGTTGAGAAAAGGGAACCATTGTGCACTGTTGGTGGGAAAGTAAATTGGTGCAGCCACTGCGGAAAACAGTATGGAGGTTTCTCAAAAAATAAAAATAGAACTACAATCCAGCAATTCAACTCCTGGATATATATCTGAAAGAAACAAAAGCACTAATTCAAAAAGATACATGCACCCTAATGTTCATGGAGCATTATTTACAATTGCCAAGATATGAAAGCAACCTACGTGTCCATCAACAGATGAATGGATAAAGAATAAAGAAGATGTAGTACACACACACACACACACACACACACACACAATGGAATACTACTCAACCATGAAAAGAATAAAATTTTGCCATCTGCAACAACATGGATGGACTTAGAGGGTATTATGTTAAGTGAAATAATTCAGACAGAGAAAGACAAATACTCTATGATGTCGCTCATATGTGGAATCTAAAAAATACAACAAACTAGTAGATAGAACAAAAAAAGAAAGAGACAGATATAGAGAACAAATTAGTGGTTACCAGTGAGGAGAGGGAAGAGGGAAAGGGGCAGTTTGGGGTAGGGGATTAAGAGGTACAAAGTATTATGTATAAAATAAGCTACAAAAATATATTGCATAACAGGGAATAGAGCCAACAATCTGTAGTAGCTATAAATAGAGAAGAACTAAAAATTGTGAATCATTATACTGTATACCTGTAACTTACATAAGTATAGTTGTACATCAACTATACTTCAATTAAAAAAAAGATAAACAAAAGGAAAAAATTTACTTGGCACGTGGATTGGCACCAGTAGTGAAGGTGCCTCCCAGGAGCCTGCAGGCTGGGTGTCCTGACAGTGTACACAGAGCCCGCGACACCACCTAGACGCTCTGTGGGTGCTGGTCCCTCACCTCCTGCCTATGCTCTGAGCTATGAACACCCCAGGTCCAAACTCCACCAGGATTCCTCTCCTGCGTGGAAGGAGATGGGTAACGCTGAGGAGATCAAGGCCAACACGAATCCAAATGGAAACAGTCCAGGCCATCTTACAGCAGAGCATCCAACCTCTTGAACATGTGTGGGCTCTGGGGGGTCACTTGCAGTCACGAGCAGCTCCTCATCACCCCAAGGGCTACGCAGACATGATTCTCTGTGGGAACCGTGACGTGAAGATAGCCAGGATGTGCTGATTTGTAACTCTAGCCTCTGCA